TGACAGGTTTTTTTTTGATTGACTATTTGTCATTGACTATTCTTCTTCTTCTTCTTCTTCCTTTTTTTCTCTTTTTTTTTTTTTTGTTAATATGTAACTGTTCATTCTTTTCGTTTTTCTTTCTCTTTCATATTCATAAATTGAAAAAGAAAAAAGTTATGTCAGAAACGTGTATGACCGACTAAAGATGATAGTGTTGATGATTATTCATGTGTAACATTAGACTTTTGTCTCCTTGAAATTACAATGTTATATGATGAAATATTGTTCTAGCTCTCTTATCCAAGGTTTTTCCATAATATCAAACAACTACTTTTGTATATAATGACAAAATATTCTTGACAATTATTTGCATCATCGAAATTAATTGTGAAATTAGAAATAGTTTTTTTTTTTTTTTTCATTATACCAACATGAACAAGGTTGACTTATGTATTAGAAATATAACAAGAGTTGTGTATATGCGCCTTTTTTCTTTTTGTTCTTTTATTTTTTAAAACAACATAGTAAAATAAAATATTCAAAATGTTAATCAAATGCAAGCTTTAAAAGTTGAGCACATTCTTGTTGATGAATTTCACCAATAGCCACAGCTGGTGTACCAAGTACATCTCGTCCAGCATATTTAAGCTAAAAAAGAAAATTTTATTATTCTGATCTAATCAATAAGGGAGAGAAAGATAACGTCGAAATATTTTTTTATTTCCTCTTATATAACTCGAATGTTGTTAGATTGAAACAATTGATAACACTTTAACTTACATGAGTTCCGACAATATTTTCAAATCTTGGTCGAATAAATGTCCATGCACCTTGATTTCGATGTTCTTCTTGACACCAAATAAAATCCTTTGCATTTTTATATTTTTTTATTTCCTGTCGAAGTTCATCAGCTGGAAATGGACATAATTCTTCGAGACGAATTATAACCAAATCATCTCGTTTTCGTTTATCACGTTCTTCATTTAATGTATAATAATGTTTACCACTTGTAAATAAAATACGTTTGATTTTTTCTGGATTAATTTTTATCTTTTAAAAATCGAAAAAATTTCTTCTTCCACTTTTATACGATATAGAAAATTTTAAACATACTTTTGAGAGATTATCAGTTAATACAGGTAAGAAATGCGTACCATCAGTCATATCGGTAAGTGAAGAAATGCAATCTGGATGACGAAGTAATATTTTTGGTGCAGCAACAATTAATGGTTTACGAAAATTTCGTATCATCTATGAAAAAGTAAATATAATAAATTGTTAATTAAAATCTAATTCTATTTTAGCATATAAGAATCTATAGTCTAGTACTTATTCTATTCGTTGAATAATTTCTAGAGAGTGAAGTATCTTTTGTTTTCGAAAATAAATAAATAATTGTTAAAGACTTACTTGACGTCGTAAAAGATGAAAATATTGAGCAGGTGTTGTTGGATTGACAACTTGCATATTTATATCATCACCATCAATACCATTTTCTTTACTATCAGTCATCTAAATTATTTTTAGTTTTTAGTGCAAAAACTGAAAATAATATTATTAAACCTGTAAGAATCGCTCCATATGACAACTACTATGTTCCGGTCCAGCACCATCCATGCCATGTGGTAATAACATAACAATACCCGATTGTGTAAGAAATTTTACTAGAAATAAAGTTTAATCATTTTTTAAATTGCTTTCTGAAATACTTACATTCACCACCGCTAATATAAGTATCAATAATAATTTGTGCACCATTAAAAAAATCACCGAATTGTGCTTCCCAAATAACAAGATTTTTTGGATCATGAATACTAAAACCATAATCAAAACCAAGTACGGCTTCTTCCGATAGAATACTATTGCATATTTCAAGAAAACCTTGTTTAGAATCCATTGAATTTAATGGAATATAAACATCATCATTTTTTTGATTAACAAGCATGCCATGTCGTTGACTAAATGTTCCTCGACCCACATCTTGACCACTAATACGAATATTATAATCTGAGAGACAAATACTCAATTTTATATATATAAAAGAAAATGATTTCTAACTTTGAAGAAGTAATGAACCAAATGCTAATGATTCAGCTGTTGACCAATCCAGTCCATTACCTGCTTCAATACGTTGTTGACGTTTTTGAACATGCGATCGAGCGATGGTTGAATGAACTTGCTAATAAAACAAAACAAAAGCATAATTTATACAAATAAAATCAAAAAAACATACAAATTCTTCTGGGACAAGAACAGATTTAACACCAATATATTTAAGTAAATTTCCATCAAGACCAGTATTCCATTGAGCTCGAGTTGATTTTGCTTGAATCATATCAGACCATTGTCGTTCAAGATGAGGAGCCTACATATGAATACTTCAAATTAATATACATATATAATTTAATCATCTTACTTTTGGTTGATATTTATCAGCTATAGAAAATTGTTCTTCTAATGTATTTCGAAAAATTTTTATTTTTTCATCTAATTCTTGATCACTTGTTTGTTCTTGTTTATAATAGTCTTGAACTTTTTTATACATTGTTGGTTGTGTAAATGTTGGATCATCAAGTTCATTATGTCCATGTTTACGAAAACAAACAAGATCAACAACAATATCTTTTCGAAATAGATCACGATATTCACATGATAATTGAACAGCTTGTGCGATTTCCTAGTATTTATATGTTTAGAATTATTTCGAGAACAAAAAAAAATAAATTACTTGTGGACATTGACCATTAACATGAATAATTGGACAATTAACTACTTTAGCAAAATCAGTACAATAACGTGATGAACTTGAGAAATAAAATACAAGATTTATAGAAAAAAATTTATTATTTTCTATTTACCGTGCTAAATGTTGAGGTGTTGTGTAACCAATTTGATTATTAGTAACGAGATGAATACTTCCTCCAATTGAATAATGAGGTAAATGACTTAATTGAAATGTTTCAGGAATAATACCCTAAAGGCAAATAAAACTGATCATGAAGAATAATTATTGTGAATTAGAATTGATTTCATACCTGACCAGCAAATGAAGCATCACCATGCACTTGAATACAGAGTGCTTTATCCCCATGTCGACCACCATCTTGTTCGGTATCTGCATAGTGACCCTCTTTTAACGATAATTGACAAGCACGAGTTTTACCAACAGCAACAGGATTATTAGCCTAGATTTTAATTAGAATACAAACGGAAAACAAAGATTAAATATATACTTCTAAATGAGATGGATTAGGTATAAGTGAAACATGAAGTGTTTTTCCATCATAAGTTAAATCCGTTGATGTATCTGAATATATATATGAGAATTTAATAACGGATATTATTTTGAAAAATAAAACGTACATAAATGTGAGAGAACATCACCAGTTGTTTTAACATCTTTAGGAAATTCATTTTTGCCTTTAATTTTTCGAATCATTGTAGCTGCTGGATAATTAAGTAAGCAAACAAGTAAATTATTTCGACCACGATGTGGCATACAAACAATGACATTTTCAATATTTACTAAATAGAAATTTATATATTCAGATAAATAAAAAATCAAATCATTTAAACATACATTGAGCAGAATTTTGAAATGCTAAATCAAAAAATGCCATCATGCCTTCTGCTCCTTCCCCACTATAACGTTTTAATGTTGGAAATTTAGCTTGAAGAAATTGATCAAATGCCTTAAAACATAAAAGAAAATGATCGATTGTAGTATTAACAGGATGACCAATCATGTTATCTTTGTCTGTGTGTTAATCAAATAATCTTCTCATGGGAAATTGTTATGATAATCAGAGATAATATAAAAGATATGATATGTTTCTTAGACAGTAAGAGAATATCAAATGTATAATCATCGTTAGAATTCATGCAAAACTTCAAAAGAAAACAGATGTATTTTTACTTCACATTTACGCATCTGTTCATAAATCCTTCGTTGAAGATCAGATGAGATTGATGGTGATGAACGTAATTGTTCAAATCGACGAGCAATCCAAAGACGTTCAATGTCACTCTATATATACATATATATATATACATGCATCTAATTATCTTCTTATTTAACATACTTCAATATATTCACATTCTAAACTTATTGATTGACAATAGGTGTCATTGAGTTGTCGAATCCAATCATCTTTTGTTTTTGGTATTGATTGTTCTGTTGATAAACCAAATAGAGATCGAGCATCATGTTCATTTTCAACATGAAAATCAGTAGTAAATAATTTATTATCTAATTCAGGTATTGACCTATAGAATTTTTTTTTTATTATTATTAATTAATAAATCAATGGAGTCTTTTTTTTTTTGTTTTATTCTCACGTGTTAACAGTGATTCCCAATGGATCGATCTTAGCTAGACGATGACCGTGCTTACGATAAGCATCAATAAGTAATGCCACATGAGGATTAGCTTGACGAGCTTGATTGTAATCACCTACATATATTGATAAAGAAATAGTATTTTTTTTTTATACAAATCGATATAATATATTTACAAAGAATTTTCTCAATTTCTTTTGTATTTCCAATAGTTTTTAATTGTGTATTATAACCGAATATTTTTGTTTGATGTTTATATGTTCGTACGAAACTATTTTGTATAAATGCTAATCGTTGTTGAACAATACGCAGATGCATCTGAAAAAAAAATTGGTGACAGATGTCAATAGAACAAGTCTCCATATGCATTGACATTTTTCAATAATCGAACATCTTCATCATGGGTGGTGGTGGTGATTTAATAGAAAGAAGTGAGGGAAAAGAAAATCAATTATGATGTGTTAGTCTCATCTAATCAACCCGGATGTGACCTTATTTCTTTTTTTTCTCTTCTCAACATCATCAAAGACGATAAGGAGAAATGTTCAATTTAAATTTTTCCTCCGAAAGTAATTCAGTATACATTCATTCGGCTGTGAAATACAAGAAAAAGGAAAAAAGACAGTCTAGTTCACTTCCGTCAGCATATGGTTAGATGATTGTCTTAACCAAAAAAAAAAAAAAAAGAATGAAAGTAATGTTAATGAGAGAGAGAGAGAGAACGAACAAGTTGTACAAAATAAAAAAAAAACATAACCAAGGAAAACTAGACATATACAAAATACAAGACAACAAATGACAAAAAAAAAGAATTGTGGAGTGTATTTTTGTTGTATACAGTACGATGGTCACTGTTCTCGATGATATATATATTGTCCAAATAATTTCTTCATCGTACCTGAGTGTATAAAGATTTTTAGTAGTAAAAAAATACGATAGACGACGACGACTAGATAAGTCAACAAAAATTTCAACGATAAATGATATGTAGAATTAATAAAAATGCTAATGAGATTGTTGATAATGAAATTGTTGTTGAACTATTAATAAATTTCGCTTGAATTTGACTTGCATCACGAACAATATTAATAAGTCGTGTTCCTTTATCATTATTATTAACCGTTAATTTGACAATAAAACCATTATTAAGTAATTGTTGATAATAGTTTTCTTCCGATGTCTTATTTGTTGGTAATAATGGAATAGTTATTAATTTCGCACGATCAAATGTAACAATACTTCGATATTTTCCTTTTTGTTCATCTTTTATATCAATTGTAATACCATTATCAGATGTAAGTAATTTTTGATCTGATTGACGAAGCCATGTTAATTTCGGTTGAGGATTACCACGATAAGAACATTCAATACTTGATTGATCTTTTCTTGGATCAACATATTGTCGTTCAGCACATGTTAGAAAATGTGGAGTAAATAAAACATCTAACGTTTTACTTACAGTCTGTTCTTGATTACCTATTATATATACATAGAAATAGTATATAATTGTCTTACATATTATTATTTTAACAAACCTTGAGTAATACTACAAAGTAATGTTGTATTATGCCATTCAGCAGTTGGTGTTATAGTTGCTTCCCAAAGAAAATTCTGTGGAAATGGATTCGTATTTGATAATGAACTTTTTCCATCATTTGTCATTTCTTTATTATCACGAAGAATTTTATGTCCAATATATGGATAAAAACCATTTGATTGACATTTTATTATTGTTTTAGTATTTTCATGTAATGGCCAACCTTGGTCAAAATTCCATGTTGCTTCACTTAGTTTCATGACATATAAATCTTTTGTTACTCCTTTTAGTTGTTCTTCACAATCAGGACAATTACATTCATATTTAGCTGAATCTTCCATTTGTAAACTTCGTATACGTATATAATTTTTTCGTACATATTCATAACGTCTATTTTTATTATTTTTAAATATTTCAGCTGCATCATCAGATGGTGATGCTAATAATGTACGTGATATTGGTGTACGTTTACCATTTTTTAAATCAAGATGCCATAATTGTGCTGAATCTTCAGCTCTAGTTGGATTAAGTAATTCACATTGAATCTCTACTTGTCCATGCCATGACATATACTTTTCATCGGGATTAAATGTTAGTTTTAATGTGGGTCGAGCTAATTGTACATTTGGAATGAGAATAGTTATTGTAATGATTGTAATAATATACATTATTTAAATATTAATTCTAAAGAAAAAAAATATTCTGAAGGTCATTTTGTAAATTTTCTTCTTCTATCAGTTAGTCAGGCATTGCTCAGAAAAAAATAAATATTTATTTAAGTTTTATTGAATTTTTTATGAGAGAAAAAAAAATAAATTGCATAAATTATTTTTTGAGAACCAGAAATTATTATAAACGTATTTCTAATCTAAGAATTATTCTGGATAGTAGAAGATGCTAATACTTACTGATGATTATTTTAACTAATGTTTATTGATTGTTTTTTCCTAATTTAACAATTTCACATTAGTTTCTTGGCATATTCCAATTGCTATTGTTATTGTAGACGGCAATAATTTCGAATTGTATTAGAGCTTCTCTCTTCCGACTTTCACGTATGTAGTTGAATGGGCAAATGATGTTGATGACGATAGAGAGAAAGAACGAGTATGTTCGTATCCTTTTCTCTCTCTCTTCCTTCTTCTCTCCCTCCCTCTCTTCTCCTTCGCCTCTCGCTCTCTTTTTCTTGTCTCTTCCTCTCTTTATACAATGAACGAGAGCGCACACACGCGTCCTCGGTCAAGTGCTTGTAGAAATAGAAGGCTATCCGTATTAGAAGAGAAGAAAAAAAAGAATGCTTTACTAGTCAATCTATTCAAAGTATAGAGAAAATAGACACCTGCTTACATTTAAGAAAATTAAGTTGAATTGATAGGCAAAACTCGATTTTCTTTCTCATTCTGTTCTATGTATGATGTCATTCCAGTTCAATAGTTCTGGAAAATCTCTTTTCTATTATTTGAATATGTATTGAGCACACACAACTAAAGAATAGCGAGAGAAAAAAGGATCCAAGGTTAAAGTAGATACTTCAATAAATAACAAAGAAAGACGCAAAAGAAGAAGAAAAATACATTAGCACAATATCGGACATATCTTCTTTTTTTTTTTAATTTTCCTTTTCTTTTGTCCTTCTAATAATCATACAGTGCGCATAAATGTGTCTGTCTATTTGTTCATTATTTGAACAAAAGAGAGAAGATTCCATAGAGAGATCGCGTTATGAATGTTCAATATAACATTGATCTAAAATGAGAAAGAAGCAGAAGAATACAAATGAGTGTCCGGATGAATGGCATATATGTCTATGTATATAAGCAAGACAGATGGCTTTAAAAATTAGTTGATTGCAAATCCCTTTAGTCATCATTGAAAATAACTTTTTTGGCTATATTAAATACAAATGCAAGACACCTGCTAGCACATATATATATATCTTTTTTATTCAGTTTCTATTAATAAATGTATGTGAAGATGTTCTGATATTATTACTGGTTAGTAATTTCTTTCATCGCCCATTTACAGCTATTATTCATTTGATCACATACATATATACAAAGTGACAATTATTCACACCGGATGTGGGCACCAGATTGGCATCCATACCGCACAAGATCTCAACAAAACATTAACAGACAAAGTAGTGATAACCCTGAATAAAATTCGTAATTATTTTCTAGAGCAGTCATGGTCATTGACATGCCACAGCAGCATAACAAGTGGAAAGAGCGATTAATCGAAGATAGATATATACATAACTGACGCAATCTAACAAGTTATTAGTTCTCTAAGGCATAATATTCGTTAATCATCAGATGTTGTCATATACTACTGAATATTTTGATACAAGCTTTTATACTTATATTTATATATACAATCTTTTGTGTTCACAAAGCTCCTCCTCTTTCTTATTCCTGATTATTACATGATACTAAATGATAAGAAATGGTAAATGTGTAATGGCTCAAATTTTTAGAAGAAGGAGGAGCACATCAGACAAAATACGATTGAATTTCTTTGTATGTGTATGTATTTCAGACACTATGTATTTATTCTCAAGCATTGATGCAATGTATTATGTAACAATAGATGAATTCGTCTATGTAATAACGACAATGAAGACAAACTCCCTCTATTCTTCTTTCTTTTCTTTTTTCTAATGAATAATTTAATCTAACGATGCGCAAACTTGCTGTGTCTTTACTATGGTTTACATTTACTATGTAAATAACGAAAACAAAGAAGCAAAATACTCTCAAGGGGACAAAGCTAAAATCTTCTTTTTTTCTCTCTGTCTCTCCTTCTTCTTCTTGTTCTTGTTTAAGCTTTAAGAATGTGATCATAATGAAATCGGATACTTTTGAAATAAAAAAGATGATATTTCTATTGTTCATGTGCATGCAATGTTTACAGGCAATTAATATAAATAGATCACACCTTTATATATAGACTCAAAAGACATACAATAGTTAAATAGTAAATTTCAAGAACTTCATTTCTAATACGAGTGTTTCATTCAAAATGACTGCCTGTCACAAATCATTAGAAATAATGATTATATAATGATGAGCGTCGTCGACCACTGTCTAATAAAAATCATCATTTCTTTTTCTTTAATATTCCTTCTGTCATAGAGAGTCTTACCCCAGAGCGGCTATGATGCTGATGATTATTATTCATTTTTTTGATTCAGAATACTGAATAGTCTCTTTTTTTGGCTGTTGAACGTCATTCATGACATGTCACTGACCTCATTCTCGTTCTCTTGTCATAGTAAAACATTGATGCATACGTTTATACTCAAGAGAAAATCTTGTCTTATGAGAATTAGACATGTGCATAACAGACAGATTCTGTACTAAATCAATCGGTGGAAGCCAAAGTAACACCATTGAAGTTCATATCAGATCGAATCACTAACTTAATATTCAAGTGTGCATCAACTGACACATTATCGTATAGTAACGACACGTTCTCTCTTTTTTTTTTGGTATAAAATGACATTACTAATTTTGAAGTAGTCAGGCATCATTTATATATATATATACATATATATGCATTCATTTACGTCATAGTTAAAAATCCTTTAGGGATCAAAACTCATTGACTAATCGTGTTTTTATATGGGTCTATTTCACGCCTTGTCTGCCCTGTAACGAATCTCGGTCATGTATGTATACATACTACACTAAGTTTAATTGCCGGTAAAGTAAAGCTGACGGAACTTGTTCGTTATTGCACATTCCGTAGATGTCAAAGTCGGCATTAAAGTTTGCCTGATTCTTTCATTATTCATGCGTGTTGAGATAAAAGTATGTGAGTGATTCGAACGGAAAGAATTTGATTAGAAGATAAAACGAAGAAAAAAAACCTGATTCAAGGATAAAGTATCTCTTTTTTTTATATGTAGACGAGAAAATATCAAAAACGATACTACATACATAAGTACCATGGGAATGTGTTTGATTAATAAGAAAAGTGATGGTAAATAAAAAGATCCTTTTTGAGGTTCGTCATTCAAGGATATTTATATCAAATGCACACATTACAATATCTAATTGTACTCAATTTTCTTCTTCTATATTTGGGTAAAGATGAACATCATCATCGTCGTCATCATCTTCAGATGCATTTTGCAAATATATTCAATCAACCTTAAATTAAATTCTAATTCTATATGTAAGATATTCATTTGGAATAGCTAAGAAAAAAGTCGAATTACCATAAATACATAGACAGAAAAATCTCGTAATAATTTATGTTGACTATACAATTATAAATATATTCATTAATATGTCAATACATAATCTCATTGGAATAGGGAACAAAATATATCTATGACAAGATTTTGCATGTCTATTAGTGATTAGATCATCCTATACATATACATATAATATGATCATTAATAAGAGTGAATATTATTAAAACTTTTTTTCATTGAACACTATCTTTATAATCAACAATGTTTATTATAAACGTTGATCTATTATACAAGTGTAATGAAATAAAGCAGTAATAATATGAACAGTTACAACAACAAGGCAAAATCGATGAATCGTTGAAGCAAATAAATTCTTATCAAATGTTATTGAATTATATATACTAATATTTTCCAAAGGTTACACACAAGTCGCATCAATGGAGCAATCAATTATTAAGAAATTCGATGTCTGTATACGAAAAAGAAAAAGATTCATTCATTCTATTTTTCTATAGAAATAATAACAGTAGACTATTCATTTTGAATTATGTTATCATCTATATAACATTTTTCTATAATCCTTGAGACGAGGGTATTCATTATAAATACAAAACAAGCGTAATTGGCGAGAAATTAATTGATGCTCCAATCATTTTATCTAAATCTTCTTAGTCCTTTATTATCTCTCATGATTTTTATTAAATAAATCGTTCTCTCATAATAAAATTCTATCTAATGTCAACATCACATATTAATTTACGGAAAAAATGATAATTATATAAATAACGAGACTAAACAAAAAAAAAATTCTATCCTCATTCCTTTGATCGAATTTCCAAATCAACAATATATTAATAATAAATTATCGTTAAAATATGCCTGGGGTACATATTTTTACAAGGACGATAAACAACTAAATCGTAAACAGGATATCCATCTTATGTATAACAACAATCAATTATGTTAAAAATATTCTTCTCATATTTATATTCATCAAAATACAGTATAAGATCTGTTAAATAATAGAAAAACAAACATACTTCATAGATTTTTGTTTAAATTTATAGTTATATTGCTTTGCCATATGGGTAATGTTTTCTTGATTTGATTTCATCTGAAAGCAAAAGCAAAGATATGTATCATCACATAATTGAGATAAATGCTTTTTTTATGATTAATTGAAAAGGTTTCGCTCATAGAAATTCGAAATTTCTTCCTTGAATTAAATACTATTTAGATGTTATTTTTAATTGGCATTAATTTGAAAATGTTATATGAATAGTGCTATTATTTTATAAGATTGATAATTTAAGTAACATTATACTAAGAAGAATTAAATGAAATTATTTATCGAGGTAGAAAATTTTTAATAAATTGTCTAAACAAATATTTTTTTTTCAAAAGTACCATAAACCAAAAACTCAATAAAGATAAGAATAAAATTTATCTTATAGTTTAGAAAAACAAATTAAGAGAAAGAAAGAGAGAGAGAGAAAGAGAGATAATAAATAATTACTTAAAATAAAAAAAAAAAAGAAATTTCTTTAACAAACTTGCTCGATAAACGACAAATAGAAAAAAAAACGAAACACAGAAAAAAAAAACGACCTAGATTTATGTCTATTCTTCAAACATTGGAGCTTTTGCTGGTCCACTAGTATTTTCATTATGCAAATCAAACTGAATACGAGTATCTGGTGATAAATTTATCATTGATTTCCATCGACGGCCAATTTCACGTATTATTGTTTCACTTTGACCTTCAGATAACCACAAAGCTATTTTATGACCACGATTACGAATTGATACAATACAACCAGTTATAAAGTGACTTAACGGTTGAGCATCACTAAATTACAAAAACATATAATCTTTATTTCCATAAAATTACTTATTTTTACGTACCTATCAAGGGAGAAACAATCACCAATCATACCAAGTAATGTTTCTTGCCATAGATCATCGAGTTTATTAGCTGTACTTGCACATGTTAATAACCAACGACCACCTCTGGCATTTTCTGCATCCTCTGTTTACAATAGAAATTAAAATTATAAAAAACAAAAGACTAATAAAAACAAATTTATTTACCCCACATTGGACGTACTAAAAAACAAAAAGAAAATATTATATATAAATCAAACTATCGAGAATAAAAAAAGACTACACGATATTCCCTGAAAATTCAATCTTACATTGAAGAAAGATATTCGAATGCACGCAAAAACTTCTCTCGAATAAAAAAAATTCTTAGTATTTGGGTTTTTTAATATTAATCGAAAATTTCGTAATTTTAACTCATCTAATGTTACGCAATATAATATCGATGTGATGATTATTTTAATACAATCGAATACTACTTACTTCCTTTTTTGAAGAAGAAATAATCGGAATTATTTTTCTGCGATGCTAAACGTGATGGTAATGCTAAATGATTAAATGTTGCCCAAAAATCTTCCACAAATCCAACATCAATTAATTTAACTAACGAATTTTCCCAACTTGTACGTTTATCTGGTTTAAGATACCAAAATGTCCAAGAAAATTCTAAAGGACTTTTTGGATTAACAGTATCACTCGTTAATTCTCTTGAATTATTTATTGTATTCGTCATTTTGTAATTTTTTTTTAAATATAAAACAAAAAACAAAACATATATATACTAAAAAATCTGGCTTACAGGATGATTCACTGAAGTGTGTCCATGTTGTTTTTACGTAAATCAAAAATTTGTAAATAATAGAAATAATTTATTAAATTTCTTCAATTAAAATTTTTTTTTTAAGTTTCTTTCACGATATTTTATTTTAACAAAATCGTTATTTTTGAAAGGAGGTCGTTGCTAAGTAACGAATTTTTTATGAATATGGCTGTCTGATTGGCTGATTTACTCATTCTTAGAATGGCTCATCTTCTTGGAAGTAAAGCTTGTATTGATAGTTTACGTGCTGATATTGATGATTTACAAAATGTGATTCATGAGATTATTGCGAAAACAGGTTCAATCAAGTAATAAAAAAGAAGAAAATTATTGAACTAATTTAAATATGAAAATTTCATGTAGATGTCATTCATGGAAATTTCCTGATAAATTAGCAACTGATGTTGATATGAAAGAATTATTTAATCGTTATCGATATGGAAAAAATGAAATTGATAATCAAGTTACTCATATAATTCTATTCGAGCTTATTATTGACAGGTATGATTATTAATATATAAACAAAAATATGATTCTGAAAATTTTCTTAAGTATATAATCATTTCAAGCAAGTAAAATGCTAAGCTTTATAGAATTCCTTTTGCTGTAATCATAGTATTTGTACATTACTGCTCAAATGAAACTACTTCTTCTTTATATATGAATATATCACACGCAACACATTACTCGCTTGTCTATCAAAGTATGAGCCTATTTGGCTCTTAAACTTTGAAGAAATAAGCAAAAATTAATCTATTCGAGAACTTTAAGTGTATTCTTTTATTCTCTTTCTCGTAGAGAAGAGTGTAGTAAACATAAATTGTCTGATTGATTGCTTGTCTGTCCGCAGGGTCAAAAAAACATCGAAGACCGATTTTCCGGAAAAGACATTTCTAGAGGTATTTCAATGCGCGGACTTCGAATCTGATCTCTGTTCGGTGACCATGAGGAGGAGGGGGGAGTGAAGAGTGGGAAGAGGTCAAAAAAACATCGAAAATCGATTTTTTTTTTTTTTACGGTTTTCAATTATTTTTCCAGTAAATGTGAAGAAAATGCATTTCTACGAGAAAGAGCTATGCGAGTCCTCGGACGAGCGTTACTTGTTATTCTAATGGATGAATTATCTCACTAGTGAAAAATATATATAAACGACAATAAAAATTTCGTTCAGATAAGAAAAATCTTCATAGGAAATATCAATTCTCGATATTAAATGAAGTCAGATTGGAGTTTGAATCTTACAAAGTATCAACCTATGTCAATATGATTTTTTGCCCTTCGTAGCTATTCTTGTTAATATCAGTACAAAAACAAAGTCATTGTCTTTCTATTTTCTATAGACTCTTGCTTGTCATGCATGGTTCATGGCGTTTTTTATATGAAACTCAAACTAAAATATTACCAAATACAATTGATGCTTCATCGACTACTGATCAACAAACATGTCTTAGTGTTGGATTAGTTGTTAAAAAATATTGGATTAAATTAATACATATATTTACTATGCTTCAACAGCATGAGGTTCGGCTCGATGATGTTAGGGGGTAGACCAAAATTATTTTATTTAAGTTTATTGAAAATTAATTATTCATTTTTAGTCTCATCATAAACGATCAAATCGTACAGCAGTAATACAATCAAAATCAACGAATAATCCTGAAAAACATTGTCAAACAATTGAAACATCATTTGGTCCATGTTCATCATGTACTAAACTTCAACAATGTCTTCGTGATTTTGGTGATAGTATTATCAATTTATGTGTTACATATAATTTACCATCATCTCTTGCACATCATCGATGTTCAACAACGACTGTACCTGAATGGTTATCATCCGATGATATTATTCATTGGTTTGAATCTCAATCAAAAGATTTCGATAGTTTATCAAAACATCTTGAATATTTACAGAATACATTAAATAAAACCAAAAACGATTTAGATTTAAATGAAAAACATTTTAAACAACAAATTGAAACAAATCGTCATTTACAGCAATTAATTAATGAAAATAAACAATCGAAAAAAATTCTACAAGAATCATATGAAAAGAAAATTATTGAATTAAAAAAAGAATACGATCAAGATAAATCGAATTTAAATGAACAAATTAAATTATTAACTACACAAAAAATTAATCTCGAACAACAATTCAATGATCTAAATAATGAATGTATTTCAAATAGAGAACAAATCGAAAAATTCGGTAAACTTGCTTAAAACAATAGATAAAAGATCAATATAATGTTATGTAGCCCTTGAATTTTAAGATGTATTCACCCACCTGATATTTTATACGATAATTACTCTGTCCGAGATAGAACATTAGGGAACTGCGGGTCTACGTTTTTTTGGATCCGGATCCAGTCGGGTCTAGACCGAATATTTTATTGATATTTCGCGTTTTTCATGTGCTTGCCCAAACCAAAAGGCATATTAGTTATTTATTGGCGAGTCTGAGAATCAGTGGCGGATTTAGGAAAAACAATGGCGACGATCGCCTCCACCCTTCAGAAATTTTTTTTGACTTTTTACAGCAGAAATGAACTAAAAAATAGGGTCATACTACTTGGATTATACTCAAAAGATAGTTTTTAGCCGAAATCGCCCCCTCCCCTACTCAGGTATCGCCCCTCTCTTACAAAATCCTAGATCCGCCACTGTTGAGAATAAAAAAAGAAAAAGCTTTTTTCTATTTTCTTTCACATGGCTATATTAAGAATCGAAACTAAATACAAATTAATGCAAACCGAGTCTGAACGAAAATCAAGGCATGAGTCTGGACCCACAGCTCTCTATAGAACCTTTCGAACAAATGTATTGAATTTATGAAAATTGATTGTATGTTTTTTTTAGAACCAACGAAATCTGAATTAAAAATCCTTACAGAAAATCAAATAAAATCAAATGATTTAATAAAAACATTAGAACAAGATCGTATTCGTTCAGAAACCGAACTTAATGTGATTAAACGTGATCTTGAAGAACGTAATCATGAATTACAAAAAGAACGTATACGTATTGAAAATATGATTCGACAAGAAGAAGTAAAATAATAAACATCTATAAAAGTAGAAAGTCTTTATTTGTTTTCAATGATTATCTATAGCATCATCAATCAAAGCATAAAATACTTACGAAATCACATGAAGAATTATCAGATGAATGTGAATCATTGAAGTAATAATTTATTATTTATTTATATACAATGAAAAAAACGTTTTTCTTTTAATTAGAAAACAAGTGATGGAAATAACAATTGAACGAGATGAATTACAAAAATCATTAAAATTAATTGAAAAACAAAATCAAGCATCTTCAAATATTCTTATGGAAACAAATAATCATGTTTTACAAGAAGTAGCTTCACTTAAAACTAATATTGAACAAATTCATCAACAAATCAATGAACGTGAACAAATCTTATCAAAATATTCAGATATAAATGAACATAATCAAACTATACTAGGTAAAAAATATATTTTATCCTTATAAATCTTATATATTTTTATTTATAGCATCAGATAATCTCATTCATGATATGCAAAATCAAATGCAAACAAATGAATTACGTATTGATTTATTACGAAAACAAAACGATTCTTTAAAATCATCATTAGGAAACTGTTTACTTAAAAATAATAGTAATAATCTATCGAAAATAACACAAGAATCGAGAGATTCAACACGGCATGAAGAATCACATCGTCAAGATTCCTTAAGAAACGAAATAGTTACATCGGTAAGTTATCAATTTCATTTCAAAGCAATGCTTTATCCATATTTCGTTTTTCGAATCGAAATATCGAATGGGCGGTTTGATAAAATATTGGTTATCATTATAATTGAGTTCTTTTAATAATTTTAGAAACCAAAACGAACGCCCTTATTTTTATTAGATAGTGAAATAGACGAACAACAACAAGCTTTTACGGAAACACGGTAATATTTATGTTTTTGTTTGAAATATTCTTATCTTTTGATTATATATAGGCCGATAACTACAACAAATACTCTTCCTAATTATACAAATAGTAGATGGATTCACTCGGAATCAATTGTAAATATTGAAACCTTATCTCAGCAACATCCGTCATCAAGAACAATAGGTTCTACACGTATTCAATCAACGTATAATTATTTTTTTAATTTATTCATAAATTAATTTTCATCTTTTGTTTTTTTTAGAAACTTAGGCACAATAATAGAATCTCGACCACCCCCAACAACTCGTTCATCTCGAATTATTCCTTCATCATCTGATCATAATATAGCGACTAGTATGTCATTTTTATTCGATTAATTTCAATAGAAATGTTTTTGCTCTAGATAAAGGTCGATCAGCAACATCGAATCGTCCATCAACAACTGATCATAGTCGACGTGATAGTTTACCAACAAAATCTTCTCGAAATATCTCATCAGCTAAAACACATAGTTTAGCACTTAATATTATTCATCGATGTACAAATTGTAATCAAACATATGATGATAAACGAAATTATGATATACATAAATTATATTGTAGAACTTAAATTCTATCATTTATTTGTTTGTTTGTTTGTTTTTATGAAAAAAAACAGAGAAAGAAAGAAAGAATTGAGATTGCACATATCTGATTACATAAAACAGAAAGTGAATATGAACAAAAACAGAATTTGAATCTACATTATTCAATGGAATGATTACGAAATGAATAAACATACAAAAAAAAGAATGTTAAGATCATGACATATGGAAATTGCCTTTAGCTAGTGTTTGTTGTGGTAAAAGTGTTTGCAAACATGATGGATTACCAGCATGACGAAGAAATGGATGATCAAGTAAATCAATTGCTGTTGCTCGTTGAGATGGATCACGTATTAAACATCGACCAAGAAATCCTTGTAAAAGTGATGAAGCCTTAATCAAAATAAAAATCAAACATATAATTCTTATGAAACAAAAACGATCGATTATTTTACTTTATGAGGATTTTTTAATTTTGGTGGAGGTTGATCACGAATTTTTCGCATAGCAGTTAATGGTTGTTCATTGAAATAAGGTGGTTCACCATCGACCATTTCCATTACCTGAAATAACTCAATTATATTAATATTTCATATAAGATTAAGCATGTATGAATTATCTTGTATGTAGTTGCCCTTTCGATGTTAAGGTCAAGAATTCGATAGAAATGAATGATGTACAATCTTTTCAAAAAATTCGTCTGTCCTTTCTTATCGCAAAAATTCAATTCGGACCAAAATTTCCAGTTTAGTCCTATTCACTTACCATAATACCTAGTGACCAAATATCAACTTCAGTTGAATATGGTGTTCTTGAAATAACTTCTGGACTCATCCAATACGCTATATAAAAAAAATTTTATGTAATTCTCGAAGTTGAATTAAAATTTCATACGTGTTCCAACTAATGATTTTCTCTTGATTGTTTGTGCTTTTTTTTCATTCATAACTTGTGCACAAAAACCAAAATCACTTAATTTAACAAAACCATCTGTTGAAAGTAATATTGAATCACTTTTTATATCTCGATGTATAACACCATTGGAATGAAGATAAGCAAGTGCTTTAAGTACTGATTTACAAACAGTTGCTATCTGTTGTTCATTCATTCGTGTTTCACCTGTAGATGTTACAAGTAAATCAGTTAATGCACCACCATCAAGATATTCCATTACAACCCATAATTCATTATCAACTAAATATGAACCATACATTTCAACAATATTCGAATGTTTATAATCACGCATAATCATCACCTGAAATTTTGAAAAGAAAGATTCATTATTATTTATCGATTTTAATTTCTGAACTCTGTAGATATGACATATAATCAGGGTTCCCGATTGTTTTCGAAAGTGAGGAGGGGGGGATAAAATTTGACAGAAAGTCCAGAAAGTGCCGTCATATAGCTTTCTGACGCATATAACGTAGGAAATACTTAAGCTATACACTTTCTGCGCAATTTTGCCCGAAAAAAAGCGTTTTTATTGGAGTTTCTGGCGAAAATAGCATAAAAACCAGGTTTCTGGCCAAGTTTTCAGCAAAACTTTAAAAATTTTGGCAGAAAGACAGACAGCTTTTCGAATTTTGTGGGGACTAGATCCCTCCAGTCCCCTTAATGGGAGACCCTGTATATAATGCATCGAAACAAAGAGAAAAACATTTGTCTTTTTTATTCTAAAAATGAAACTTCAGAAATTGAACTATCAAAGAATGAATAACTTTTAATTTGATATTTTTTCAGTTAGTTTTATAATTAACGGTATTAATCATTGAGATTATATATCATTTACTTGTCATGATAGTGTAACATATGATTTAATGATCTATTCTATTCTCCTTGGCTAATGATCGATAGACTTTTTTTTTACAAAGAAACAGCTGCTACAGTAATGGAATCAATGTATTATGTTTAAGACATTGAT